CCCCCAAAGCCCCAGTACATAGTTGTCTGTCATAGCTGCACATCCTTCTAGTTGCTGTATGTGGGACGCGGCCTCAGCATGGCTGGAGGAGTGGTGCCTCGGTGCGCACCCGGGATCCGAACCCGGGCCGCCGGCAGCGGAGCGCACGCACTTAACCGCTAAGCCACGGGGCCGGCCCTGATCTAATGATCTTGAGGATTAAATGATCTAATGCCTTGGCTCTCAGCCCTGGCTGCATGTGAGAACCTGCCTGGGAGCTTTAAAAATCTTGATGCCCAGGCCCACCCCAGGCCGACTGAGTCGGGCTCTTAGTGTGGCCTGGACATGAGTGCTTCCCAGAGCTCCTCAGGTTTCTGGGGGCGGCCAGGGCTGAGAACCGGCCCCCACGCATTCACAACCCTGAACACAGCACCAGGCACAGTGTCTGTTAGCGCCTGTTATTTCTACTGCAGTGGTGGTGAGCGTCTGTAACACGCCTCCCACTCTGCCCCATTTCACAGTCGGGAAAACGGAGGTCCAGAGAGAGAAACTGACTCGAGCATGGCAGTCTGGACCGGAACCTAGTCCACGGCTTTTTCTGTGCATAATTTAAAAAAATGGTCAAAGCCGACAAGACATAAATGAAGGGGTGTGGATGGGACTCCAGGCGTGGCGACACTTGGGTGAAGGGAGGACTCTCAGGCTTTCCATCACCCCTCAAATCCCATCCCCCCCTCCTCTGCCCTGGGGGTCTTACTTCAGACGGAAAAGGAGAAAGAGGAGATGGGAGGAAATCTGCCTTCCTGGGGAGAGCCTTGCTCTGGAAATCTGACCGCCACTCCCGACGGGTGCCTGCCCTTCCAGAGAAGGAGTGAGGGCCCAGGGCGTGTTCACAGGATAGAAAATACCAGCCTCCCTGGTGGAGGGAGGCAGGCAGGCATGGCTGGGCAGGGACCGACACGCAGAAAGAGCACACGTAGTGACTCACGAGGGACCACAGCGCCCCCTGGTGGAGCTGCCAGTGGCCAATGGTCTGGAGGGACCTACATTGGACAAGACGGGCTGGGGGCCCAGCCAGCGAGGCGGGGACATGCTGGGAAAGACAGTGCCAGCCCCACCAGGCCATGAGAGGGGGGCAAGGAGATAACTCCACACCCGGCTCCAGGGCCCACTGCTGCCCAGCGCTCACATCAGCGTGGATCGGTCTGTGGGTGCAGCTCAGGGTGGTGTGTTCAAGATTCTGGGCCAGGCTGCCTGGGTTCAAGTCCTGGCTCCACCACACCCCAGCTGTGTGACCCTGGGCAAGTCACTTAACCTCTCTGAGCCTCAGGCTCCTCCACTGTAAAACGAGGATAACACTAGGATCTCCCTCATGGGTGGCAATTGAGTGAGTTAATATTTGTAAAGCCCTTAGAGCAATGCTGTGTACATACTCAGTGCTACTTAAGTGTTGGTTAAATAAACAAATTGTTCTTAGAAGCTTATGCAATTTTGTAATTGTGTTTGTTCTAATGGAAAGAAAATTTCTCCCCCACCCCTAAATTTAAGAAAATTGGTACTTTCCAAGAATGTATATTATTAGTTCTGTGGCTCCAAGACCCCGACACTCTATGAGGTTCTCCCGGCCAGGCTCAGCCCTGTGTCTGGGTCAGAGAAAGTGCTCGGTCCATGGGGGTGACCCAAAACAGGCAGAGGCTGTCCTCCGATGCCCACCCCAGGCTGAAGATGGCCGGGGCTGAAAAAGGGGCAGCAGAGAAGAGACCAGGAACTTGCCAAGGCCTCAGTCCAGGATATGGGCCCTATGTGTCCCCTCACACGTAGTGGGGTGGGGTGGCCCCAGCTCCAAGCTCCCCAGCGGGGAACGGGGTGGGTGGGGAAGAAAAAGCCGAGGTGTCTGTACCTGACGTCAGGGTTGAAGTCCAGCCTGCTGGCCTCCTGCTGCAGTCTGGCCAGGGTGGCTCCGCCTTCCCGCTGGAGGCCCAGCAGGCCTGGATCCCTCAGCACAGCCTCCATCAGCTCCTTGGACTTGCTCAGACACCTGGAGGCCTCCTGCCAGTGTAGGGAGGTGGCCTGAGGCCCAAGCCCCACTCTCCCTCTGTAACCGTCCAGGGTTCCCCACACCCAGATCACACTCGACTCCCCCAGTTTGCCATTCAAGGTCCTATAGAAAGTCTATCCTTTCTCTCTCTAAAACATCTCCTCAAGCCACTCTTCCTCTCATCACCATGGCAACCTCGCTGGTCCCAGCGCCATCATCTCCTGCTGGGACACCCATCCCAGCCTCTTCACTGGTCTCCCTGCTGCACTCTGGCTCCCCCTGCAGTCTGTTCTCCACACAGCAGCTGGAAGGATCTCAAAGCGCCAATCTGATCATCTCCCTGCTTAAAACTCTCCAGTGCCTTCCCTGCCAGCTTAGAACCAAATCCCAGGGCTGGCCTGGTGGCGCAAGCAGTTAAGTGCGTGCGTTTGGCTGTGGCAGCCCGAGGTTCGCGGGTTCGGATCCTGGGCGTGCACCGATGCACCGCTTGTCAGGCCATGCTGTGGCAGTATCCCATATAAAGTGGAGGAAGATGGGCACAGATGTTAGCCCAGGGCCAGTCTTCCTCAGCAAAAAGAGGAGGATCAGCATCGGATGTTAGCTCAGGGCTGATCTTCCTCACAAAACAAAACAAAAAAAGAACCAAATCCCAACCCAACTCCTCCTGATACAGCCCCCAATGGATGTGGAAGTTCCTCAAGTTCTTCTCTCCTTCTCCTCCCCACCTCCTACTCTGTTCTACATTGGCCTCCATGCTTCCTGAACATACCAAGCATAATCCCACCTCAGGGCCTTGGCACGTGTCTGCCCTCTGCCTGGAGCTCAGTCTCCCTCCTATCCCCATGGCAACCTCCTTCTCATCCTTCAGGCCTCAACTTAAATATCAGCTCTTCAAGGAGGCTTCCCTCCTTCCCCATTATTCTCACTGTTACTTTCGTGGCATTTGGCACAATCTGGAACTACACATCCATTTCTTTGTTTACTTTTCTAATGACTCCCTCTACCACTGCACCGTAAACCCTGTGAGACCAAGGACAAGTCGGTTTGCGCCAGGCTTGCTCTCCAGGGCGTGACACATAGTGGATGCCCAATAGATATTAGTCGAATGAATGAAAAGCAGGGATGACGGCACCCACCCTAGCTGTCCCCTTCATGGAGCCCTTGGTCCCTGGAATCTGGGGTGTAGTGTGGCTTCCCCACCACGTGCTCCTGGCTCACCTGCACCCCTCCAGGGGGGTCGCCCTTCTCAAACTCCTTGATGGAGGCCTGCAGCAGGGAGGAGGCCTGGCGGAGGCCAGTCAGGAAAGGGTCCAACTTCTGCAGGATGGAAGGCCAGAGCAGGGGTGTCAGTCTGTGCCGGTGAGGGGGGCACCTCCCCCACCCAGGAGGACAAAGTTGGGGGCAGGAGGTGATGCTTCTCAAACTTTAGCTGCATCAGAATGACATGGAGAGCCAGTTGAAAATCAGACTGCTGAGCCCCACTCCTGAGTTTCTGGCTTGTTCCCCTGGGGTGGGGCCTGAGAATCTGCATTTCTAACAAGTTCCCTGGTGATGCTGATGCTGCTGGTCCGGGGACCACAGTTTGAGAACCACTGGTGCTGGGACTGAGAAGAAAGAAGATAGGCCTGAGCTACCCCCGGGCCAGTGGGGACACCTTGGGGGAAACGGGGGGGGGAGAGGGTAGAGGTAGGGGGACACCCTCTGCTGGGTCTCATGTCAGCCCAGCCTCACCACTTAGTAGCTGTGAGACCTTGGGCAAGTCACTTAACCTCTCTGCACCTCCTCTTCCTCCCTGTATAATGGGATCACAGGAGTTCCTGCCTTCCAGGCTGTGTGGCGGTTCATGTGTGCAAGGACTTAGAATAGCACCCAGTGCACAGTGTTAGTCACCGTCATTATCAGTTTTATTTTCCAGGTTTATAGGTAAGATTTCACTTAAAGGGAAAGTTTTAAAGTGAAAATGTAGTTTAAAAGCCACTGGGTTAATCAGAGGCCTCTAGAGAGGAGAACTGGGGCCCCGGGGGCCCAGGAGGAAAGATTTCTCAGTGTATACCCTTTATACCCTTTGAATTTTGAACATACCGCCTATTCAAAAACAGACACGATTTTAAAAAGGAGAGCACTGGGCCAAAAGCAGATAAGCAAACCCCATGTCAGCCTGCGGGTGTAGACGGGTGGTTCTCAGCAGAGTGTGACTCCCCCACACCCCAGGGGGGCCACTGGCAACGTCTGGAGACATTCTTGGTTGACATAATTTGTGGGGTGCTACTGTCAGAGCAGGCAGAGGCCAAGGATGGTGCTAATCACGCTACAAGACAGCTCCCCAGGCAAGAATCATCCGGCCCCAAACCTGAGCGTCGCTGAGGTCTGGCAGCCCTGTCTGGGCACAGCCCCGGGTGGTGTTTGCGGGCACGGGTTTCAGTGCAGCTGAGCTGTAATCTTCTGCGCTGTTGTGCAAGTCCCCCGTCCTGCGTGTCCTCACGGGGTAGCCCGGGTGTGAAATGCCCCTCGCAGGCTTGTGGCGAGGAGGGGCTGAGGTTACCCGGGAAAGGAGCCCCGCGCCCGCGCTTTCCCTACTTCCTGCCTCTCAGGGGAGGGAGCGCATCTGCCTTCCCGCCAGGCCCCGGCTCCCCGAGTTGTGCAGCTCCACGGAGCAGACGTCTGTACATGTATTTTCAGTGAACACAGTCATGGCTCTTAGCACGTGCCAGACACTCTCCCAAGCTCTTCACCCACACTAACTCACTTAATCCTCCCACAGCCCCACAGGGAGGTACTATCAGGAAGCAGATGAGGAAAAGGGCTCAGAGGAGGCACCTAACTTCCCCAAGGTCACACAGCAGAGCTGGGATTGGAACCCAGGCAGTTTAGCCCCAGAGCCTGAGCTCTTCATATTCCACTCTGCACCCTCATTATACACGTTTGTTGAACGACTATTTTTGAAACTGACAGGGTCAGTGGATCCATGGGACAGGACAGTGAAGGGAGGAAGAGAAGGATAAGAGTTGGAGGGTAAAGGCTGTGATGGGGGCACCTGGAAGAACTGCACCCACTCGCTGTGGCAGTAGGGGAGGGGGCCTTCCAGGGCTGTGGGCAGCTGGCTGGGGTCCACGTGGTGGCTGAGGGCCTTCAGGGAGGTCAGCACCTCCACCTGCAGACAAAAGAAGAGTTAGGAGCACCAGGGACTCAGTCTGGGGAGAGGTGTTTGAGAAGGTCCTGCCCAGATCCCGCCCCCGCCCCCTCTGCCTCCCATAGGTAAGGCTGGACCTGGCTTTAAGAGATGCTTTCTTCTGGGCAATAGGTCTTCTCTGGAAACTCTGACAAATCAAAATTCAGAACCAGAACCTGGGTAAGGAATGGCAAATAGCGCTCGGCCTGCCACTCTCCAAGCCCGTGCCACAGGCAGACATCACTAATCAATCACAGTACTTGTTCCCTCCGAGCTGGACTCCTTCCCAGCACAGCCTTCCAGGAAATCAAACAAACTGATTGAAGCTGGCCCCTGTCATGTACGTTCTTTGTAATCCTTGTACTGTTCTCTGGTGACCCACCAAGGTGCTGTCTCCTCCTTGAGGCTATTGAGAAAGGTCACCATATCCTAACAGTGTCTCCCAAGACATGGAGGAGAGACTAGGCGTCCGCTTCACCCACGCAGGGAACTTTGAGGCTTAAGCCAGGAACAGCTCCAGATCCCTAGGCTTGGGATTGGGTGGATTTTGTGGGTTTTTGGACCCATCTGTTACGCCTGGTACTCACAGCTGGTCCCCGGGCCAGCAGCGTCAGCATCACCCAGGAGCATGTTAGGAACGCAGAATCAAAACTACTTAATCAGAACCCGCTCTTGGACGAGATCCCCAAGTGACTCATAGCACATAAAAGCCTGAACAGCACATCTCTAGCTCACAATGTGCCTCTTTACTATCCAGGAGGAAGAAGGAGACCTTTCAAATCATCTCCTGAACTGTGTGGGGGAGGCCACGCTCATGACTGTGGTATACGGCTCTAATTAAAGGGAGCCGCAGGGTTCTTTCCTGCGAGGGCCCGAATCAACTCAGCATCTGAGTTGGAGATGCTGAGAGAAACTAGGGAGAGAAATACAGGAAGATCAGGGTGTGGAAAAGGCACCTCTGCCTCCAGCTTGCTGTGTGGCCTTGGGCCTCAGTTTCCCCATGTGAAAAGAGAGGAGGGAGGGGGCTGGCTAGATGAAGCTTTTCAAATAGGTTTCATACCATGTGCAGCTCTCAACCACGTGGCAGTGCCCACCAGCAGTTGCCAGGACTGCCAGAGAGAAATAGTTCTGCGGCTGATTTGGCAACGCCTGCCCTGGGGCAGGGCTGGAGGGATGTAGCATCCGGGCCTTGTATCGATGGACCTACACTAGATTATTTCAGGCCCTCCCCTAGCTCGTGAACTCTGCAATTCCTCACCCCAGCTCAGCTCCAGCCCAGCAAGTCCTCTCCGCCTTGGGGGACGCTGCCTCCCCCTCACCTGGATGTCAGGTAACGTCTCCAGCTGGAGAGCCGCCTCCTTCTCCCCGAGGAAGAGCAGGGCCCGGATGGAGGCTGGGACCAGACCCTGTCGGAGAGAACTATTTCAGGGCTGCTCTGCCTTCACTGAGCCTCCCCACTAAGATGCAGGCAAAGGGGCCACGGGGACCAGGCATGGGGGTGTGGGGGTCCCCGTGGCTGGGACCCTTATGTGGTATGTTTAGAGGGTGAGTCACTGGAAGTCAAGAGAGCAGCAAGTCCAAGCTGTGTTGCAAACTTCCTAGATACCCTCCCCCCTCTGGGACTCGGTTTCCCCATTTATAAAGGAAGGAGGAGGAAGAAGGGACGGGGGAGGTCAGACCACGAGGTGAGCAGATGCCAGACTTGCATTTACTCTGCTGCCCAGCCGGCTCATTAGGAATCTCTCCCTCCCCCAGTCTCAGTCCAGGAGGCTCGTGTGAGCTAAGTCTAAGCCAATCCGTGTGTCCAATTCCTCTGGCCACAGAGATTGGTTGATGGATGGACACCTGAGACAATCGGGGCTAAGGAGACACAAAGAAAGTTTTGCTGGGACTTCTGGAAAAAGAATCTCTTGCTATTTCCTACTGGACTTAAATGAAAGACCATCTGAAGTTAGAGCTCCTGGGAGCCAGACTGCCACTGAGAGAGAGCCTGGCTGAGAATGGCACTCTCCTCGGAGAAAAGGGCCAGGGACGGAGAGAGAGGAACCAGATCTTGGTGACAATATTTGAGCCCCTGAATCAAGCCATACTTGAAGGTGGATTTAACCCCTGGACTGTCGAGTCGTGTGAACCAACGAACGACCTTTGTCTTTAGGCCTCTTCGGCTGGGTTTCTGTTATCTGCAACTAAGAGACCCTGCCTGGGGTCCTGCTCCCAGCTCCGAGAGTCCTGGGCTCCGTGGATGTCACAAGGTCCCTGGTGTTCCCAAGACTTGCCAGGCTGAGGCTGTCCACCTCCCACTCACCTGGGTGGCCTGCAGGGCACTGACCAGACCAGGATGCGGGGGCTGTTTCCTGGCGTCAATCACGACCACCAGCCCCTTGGCTTTCTCTTCAGGCCTGTGGGTGGTAAACAGAATTGGCAGTCTTGCTGGGTGAACCGGGGCTCTCCCTGGGGAAGAACCTAGTGGAAGGTGAGGGAAACTGGCTGCTAGAAGCCTTGATTTACTGGTGAACTCTTCATCCTGTAAGACAAAGTTCCAGTGCCCTCCCTCTTCCAGGAAGCCCTCCTTGATTCTCCTCCAGGCAGAGTCCATTGCTCCCTCTTCGGTGCTCCCACAGTACCTCACATGGCCCTCTCTTACACCCTGATAACCATAAACTATATGCCACTATCCCAGTTGCAGTGGGCTAGTCACCCAGCATTCACTCACCCCTTTTGTGCTGGCAGAAGGCTCATTTTACTCAAGAATCCAACTCCCCCCATATAACTATGTGCCCCCCTCCCCGGTGCCAGACCCGGAACTGGTTTATGATTGGTTGAGGCCAACAGCAAGGACCCAATTCCCCTGGCTAATGATTGATTTAGATAGGGGTCATGTGACACATTTCTGGCCAATAAGATGTGAGGGGAAATTTGCTGGGGGACTTCTGGGAAAGACAGTCTCTCCTTTAAAAAGTTCTTACAGAGAGATTCAAGGCCGAGACATAGAATGATAAATTTCCTTGTCACACAAGACATGTTGAATTGGAATTGGTTACTTGCAGCCAAAACACCCTCACTGGTTCACGGTGCACTTTTCAGTGATTACCCTAGGATTTCCCAAACTGGCCAGATCGTCAGGACTTGTTAAAATACGATTCCTCACCCCTTCCCCACCCCATCCCCCCAGACATCTGGCCAGAAGGGCCGGGGTGGGGCCGGAGCATCTGTGCAGTTCCAAGCGATCCTGATGATCAGGCAGGTGGGGAAAATGACCCCAACTACCTTCAATCCTTACAACCACCAGTTCATAGACAAAACCCGCGGCGGCCGGCGTGGGGGTGGAGCTGCGGCTCTGCCACGGTATCTGTCACCTGGGGACGTGGCTTCATCCCGCTGGAAGTCACTTTCCCATCTGTAGATGGGGCTGTGGTGAGCACTGACGAATTCACCACGTGAAGCGCTCAGTGGCTGCACAGAGCAGGAGGGATACGAATGCCTGCTGTTATGACAGTCCTAGACGGGGAAACTGAGGCACGGAGCGGTGACCTGGCAGACAGTGAGAGGAGGCTCTCGGAGGTGATGCCGGGTCTCTGGCTTCACGTCCCGCTCCTCACCAGCCTCTGGCCGTGCCCAGGCTGGGAGAGAGGTTTGCTTCCACACCTGCTCCGCCACCAGCCTGGAGGCCCCTAGGGGTCAGGGCCCCACGTGAGGAGCGTCCGGGTCCCTAGCGTGGCCCGGCATAAAGCCAGGCCTGGAGCAAGTGCCCGGCAACGTTGGTTCACGCAGGAGTGGAAAAGCAAAAGCCCATCAGACAAGACCCCCTGTGCATCACACTCCACAGTTTACACTACACCGTGCCCCGCCTCTCGTGACCACACGTGGTCCTCAGAGCCCACGTGGTCACCCCCTTTGCTCAGGTGAGCCTCAGAGAGGGCAGGTTACCAGCCCAAGGTCAGACAGCAGGTTGGTGGGACTGCAGGGTTCTGTCCCCCACGCTGGCCACTGCCCAGCACAGAAAAGGGGCTTCCATCTCCCCCTCAGGCCGGAAAAGCCACTCCCCCTTGGACAACAGGGAGAAAACTCTCAGTGGCCAGCAGGTGGCAGTGATGGCTCCCGTGGGGTGGAGCAAATGGAGAAGGTTCCAAAGGGTTCCATCAGTCCCTCCCACCCCTCCCCTGGGGGCAGAACCTCTAGATTGGATTGGGATCTAAAGCTACAGTCCAAACCACCTCCATGCCCTGGCTGGGGGCTGGGGCTCAGAGGAGAGGATGGTGCCTCTTCCCCATCAGTCCAACATGAATTCTGAATGGGGGGGAGGAGGGTGTTAGAAATGAGCCTCATCATTCACTCACTCCCTCACTCATTCTTGCTTTCACTCTCTCACTCATTCATTCATTCACTAGTTCACCCTTTTCTTCATTTGTTCAATAAATACTTATAATTCAGAAGCCAGCTCAGTTATCACCTCCTCAGGGAAGCCTTCCCTGATTTTCCAATTGAAATGAGTCCCCCCACCCTTCTCAGTACAACAGTGGCTCTCAAAATGTGTCTCTGGCCCAGCAGCATCAGTACCACCAGGAAACTTGTTAGAAATGCAAATTCTCAGGCCCCACCCCAGACCTACTGAATCCAAAACTCTGGGGGTGGGCTCAGTGATCTGTTTTGACAGCCCTCCGGGTGATTCTGATGCACGCTGGAGTTTGAGAACCACTGATCTACAGCATCCCTCTGTTTCCTTCTCCACACTAGCTCTCCTGAGGGTTGCTTGTCCGTGGGCTGTTTCTTGCACACCGGCCATCTCCCCCACAGCCTGGGAACCCCTCGACGGTGGGAACTGAGTGTCCCGCTTGCCCCCCCGGCGTCTGGCTCGGCACTGGCTCTGGGAACAGACACCTGGGTGGAAGGCTATGGTGTCTCTCCTGGTCCGGGGCTCTGCGTCGAGAGGTCGAGGGGGATGGAGTGGCCAGCTGGCCCAGCCCCTTACCTGGGGACAGTGCACAGATAGGAGAGCAGTTTGGTGACCTCTGAGGCTGTGCACCATGGTGCCTCCCAGGTCCCCTCAGTGGTTGACATCAGAAGCAAGGGCCGCCCCGCCCTGTCCCGACCGCCTGGAGGAGAGAGGACGCACGTGAGGAGTGAGAAAGTTGGTGGAGCCCTCTCTACAGGGGGAGCACGCCCTGGGGCCTCCAGGCCTTTGCCCATAATGGTCTCTCTGCCCAGAATGCCCTTTCTTTGCTCCCCTGTGAACTCCGAACTCCTATTCATCCTTTAAGACACGGCTCAAAAGCCACTTCCTCAGAAAAACCGTCCCTGAAACCCTCTTCCATGCAGAGGTGGCCTCACCCTCCTCTGTGCTCCCTGGGAAGTGAAGCTCATGGAATGAGCCTTGGGGACACAGAGAGGGGGGTTCAAGTCCCAGCTCTGCACTGACTCACTATGTGTCCTTGGGCAAGTCCGTGCGTCTCTGAACCTCAGTTTCCTATCTGTTAAATGGGGAGACTAAAATATGGAGCTTATTAGGTTATTTCGAGGACTAAATGAACCAGTTCCTGAGAAGCACTGACCGCACGGCAAGAGCTTAACGAACAGCAGTTGTTACAACAGTCATCATCTCTGTCCCTGTCTCCAGCCCCCCGCATGGTGAGCGTGCAGCCTGGCCGCCAGCTCACTACCTACCGTGCAGATGGTCAGCTATGGGTTCCCCAGACTATTTCCTGATCCAGGAAACAGGCCTGTGTGCCCCACTCTCCCCACAGGGCTCAGAGTCCGAGGCCCAGGGGGTCAGCACAGCCCGTCTACACTGGGGGGATGGGGGAGTACAGCAGGGGGAAGAGGCCCAGGCCTCTGCAAACCCGTCCTGTCCTGCGCCCGGGGCTCAGAGCCCTGCCCTCCAGGGTCACCTCACTCAGGGCCACTCTGCAGTGACCCCCACCTAACCATGTGGGCACAGCCCTCCACAGTGTGTAAGTTTGTAAGACCCTTTATAGCTCATGAAGCCTCAGACAACCTTAACCGCCTTCACAATTGCTGCCTCACACAGGGGGCAACCATCTGGAACATTCTTTCTTTCACATATGTTTGAAAATTTGACATAATTTTTTTTTTTAATAATTTTATTTATTTATTTTTTCCTCCAAAGCCCCAGTAGATAGTTGTATGTCATAGCTGCACATCCTTCTAGTTGCTGTATGTGGGACGCGGCCTCAGCGTGGCCGGAGAAGCGGTGCGTCAGTGCACGCCCGGGATCCGAACCCGGGCCGCCAGCAGCGGAGCCTGCGCACTTAACCACTAATCCACGGGGCCAGCCCTGACATAATTTAAAAATTAAAAAAATCTACATTGATATATATTTTTATACACAAATATACACAGTAATATTTGTATTTGCATATATATAAACTTTGTATCCTCTTGATATCATGGGTTTGATTTTTCCTAATATTTATTTTAAATCTCAAAAGGAAAAACATTTTGTTGAGGACAATATGGGAAATTTGAATACGAGCTGCGTATTGAATAGCATTAGGAATTATTTTTAATATTATTAGGTGTGCTGATGACATTATGATTACTGGGGAAAATGTCCTTACAGTTAAGAGACGCAGGCTGAAGTACTTAGGTGTAAAATATGAAGCTCTGTAATTTACTTTAAAATATTTTAGGAAAAAAAAAAAGGTGAAACATGCCAAATTGTTAAGATTCATTAAATCTAAGTAATGAGTATAAGGGTGTTCATTATACTATAATCTCTATTTTTCTGTATGTGTGAAATTGCTCATAATAGAAAGTCCAAAAAAAGTGAAATAATTAAACCATGAAAAATTGCATAACTTGCAAAGTTGGAGATGTTTGTCCATGTCCCTCTGAAATCCTCTCACAGCCATGGGTCCCTCAGGTCAGGAAATGCTACATCATGTCCTTGGGCCCATTTTACGGATGAGGAAACTGAGGCCTGGAGAGGGGAAGCAGCTTCCCAGGCTCCCACAGACCCAGGTCCCCAACTTGCCAGCAAGGGTGGGGATCATGCCTGATTCAGCCCTTGACCCTGGGCCACACTGAGAGATGAGTTTTGTCTGCTGTAAACCTGATGGCTGGAGCTCTGTGACAGCTCTAGGGGTGCTACTCCCTGCTCTAAAACTTTCCAAGGCTCCTCATGGCCTCGAGGAGAAAGTGCAAGCTCCTCGACCTGGCACTTAAGTCTCCCCAGGATCTGCACACTCTTCCAGCCTCATTGTATACACTTTGTGTTATGTGCTGAATTGTGTTCCCTCCCCGCCCAAATTCAGATGTTGAAGTCCTAACCCCTAGGGCCTCAGAATGTGACTGTATCAGAGACAGGGTCTTTAAAGAGGTGATCTGGATAAAATGAGGTGATAAGAGTGGGTCCTAATCCAATGTGACTGGTGTCCTTATAAGAAGAGGAAATTTGGACACAGTACAGAGGGAGACATAAGGAGAAGACGGCCACCTACAAGCCAAGGAGAGAGGCCTCAGAAGAACCAACACTGCCGACACCCAGCCTCCCAGCCTCCAGAACCGTGAGAAATAAATGTCTGTCGTTTCAGCCCCCCAGTCTGTGGTACTTTGTTATGGTGGCCCTAACACACTAATGCCCGGTGTCTCCCCTTGTCACCATGGCCCAGCCACAGTGGGTCCCATCTGTCATTGCCTAAATGAGCCTGACCATTTCCTGCCTCCCCCGTTCACACTGTTCCTTCTGCCAGGGATTCGCTTCCCTCCTATCTCCATCTGTGAAACCCTCCTCATCTTTCAAAGCCCAGCTGAGATGCCACCTCCTCCAGGAAGACATCCTCCTGCCCTCTACAGAAGCCCTGCTCCCACCCCAGGCTCCCACAGCAAACGGAGGCCTCTTATTCCTCCAGGCTGAGGGCTCCTCACGGTGCTTGCTGGCTCAGATTCACTGTACCCTGGCGCTGAGCACAGGCCCGCAGCAGATAATCAATGTCCGTGATTAACGGACGAATGAGCGGATGACAAACTTCGATGTGCCTGGGGATCTTGCTAGAAGGCAGATTCTGCTTCCGCAGGCCTGAGATTCTGCTCTCTCCCTAGCTCCATGGTGAGGCCCGTGTAGTTGGTCCCCAGACCACACTCTGAGTAGCACAGGAGTTCAGCACTCAGGACATTCCATACTGGGACACCGTGATGGGTTCATGTGTCTGGTCCCCCACTCCGCTCTGCCTGGAACGGGGCTCTGCAAACGGCCAGAGCCGGCTGAGCGCGCAGACGCTGGCTGAGGCCACCGGAGCAAGGGACCGCTGTCCCCCTGACTGCCTTCAGCTGGGAGGCCCCTTTGCCCCAGATGCCACCCTCATCTGACAACTGGTGCCAGAAATGCCGTCATCAGCACCTCAGAGCCCTGGCCTGAAGCTGGGCTGTTCACACTGGGCTATGAGTCTCAGGTGGACATGGAGATGGCAGGTTGGGAGGTGCCGGGGGAGTGGGTAAGAGTCACCCAAAGCCGTCAAAAAACTGTCGCTCCTTCCTGCAGCACTATTCACTCCCAGTTTGGGGGGAAATGGTAAGTGATTTAACTGGCAAACAATTTAGAGCGTTTTTTGTATTGAAACAAATATGAATGTATGCTTAAGTAGGATACAAAATCTATAGAAATTTAAAGACAAAAAAGATTTCAAAGATATGTACAAAGCAGCTGAGAGCTCAGGGCGAGCTCTCCCCTGGGACCTGGTTCACTCTTGTCTGCACTGGGGTTTTCAGGGTAAAGTCTGAGAAACCCTCTCCTAAGGCCTTGTGCCTGTGAAGGCAGAGTTATGGCTCCAAAGATGTCCACGTCCTAATCCCAAGCCTGTGGATGTGTCAGCTGACCCAGCAAAGGGACTTTGCAGATGTGATTAAGGTAGGACCTGGGAATGGGGGATTAGCCTGGATTTTCTGGGTGGGGCCAATCTAAGCACATGATCCTTAAAAGCAGAAAAACCTTTCCTGGGTTCAGTCAATCAGAGAAAGGTGTCAAGACAGAAGAAGGGTCAGAGAGACGTGATGTTGCCGGCTTTGAAGATGGAGGAAGGGGCCACAAGCCAAGGAATGCAGGCAGCTTCTAGAAGCTGGAAAGACAAGATACAGATTCTCCCCTAGAGTGTCCAGAAAAGAATGCAGGCCTGCCGACACCCTGATTTTAGTCTGGTCTGTGTCAGACCTCTAACCTACGGAACTGTAAGATAGGAAATTTGTGTCGTTTTAAGCCACTGAGTTTGTGGTATTTGCTCTGCCCACAGTAGGAAACTCACACAGTGCCGATTAAAACACAACCCCGCCCCCAGCTCGGGAGCAGCCATTCACTGCTTAGCGCTGGTGAGTCTCTTCCCTGAGAACAGATCTCTATGGAAAGTCTGGAGCTCAACGACCTGAGGAGAAGAAAGGAGGTGACGAGGAGATCCTGACAGGGGAGACAAGGGCTGGCCGGGAGCAGAGCCCGAGCTTGGAACACAGACTTCGGGGACTGTTTGGGCTACAAGGGAACTCCAGGGGAGGCAGAGAGACCAGCGAGGAGACTGCAACAGGCGAGAGACTATGCTGGTTTGGACGCGGGTGGTGTGAAGTCGTCAGATTCTGCATGCAATCTGATGAAGAGTTGACAGGATTTGCTATCTAACTGGATGTGGGCTGTAAGGGAAGAGAGCAATCAAGGACAGAGCTGCCACCTTTTACTGTCATGAAGAAAGACTAGAAGGTTGGGAAGGGTGGAGGGGGGTGTGAAATCAGGAGCCCACTTTTGGACATTAAGTTAGACATACACATAGAGACATCAAGTAGACAGTTGGATGAATGATTAAGGAGTTGATGGGCAGGGTCCAGGCTGGAAAAGTGAGTGTGGGGGTTGTCAGTGTAGAGACAGCATTTAAAACAAGTACTCAGGGGCCGGCCTGGTGGCGTAGCAGTTAAGTTCGAGCGCTCTGCTTCGGCGGCCCCAGGGTTCGCTGGTTCAGATCCCAGGTGCGGACCAACACACCACTCATCAAGCCGTGCTGTGGCGGCATCCCATATACAAAATAGAGGAAGATGGGCACAGATACTAGCTCAGGGCTAATCTTCCTCGGCAAAAAAGAGGAAGATTGGCAACAGATGTTAGCTTAGGGCCAATCTTTTTCACCAAAAAAAAAATAATAATAATAAAATAAAACAAGTATTCAACCGTGAGCCTGGATGAGGTCACTAAGGAAGCAAGTGTAGACGGAGAGGAGAAAGGGTCCAAGGACTGAGCTCTGGGGGCCCTCCAAGGTCTACAGGTTGAGAGGTGAGGAGAAGGCAGGAAAGGAGGCTGAGAAGGTGCGGCTGGTGAGCGGGGAGGAAAACCAGGTGGGAGTTGCCAGGAAAACCAGGCAAGTGAAGAAGGCACGTCAGCCAGCAGGGAGCAGTCATTGGTGTCAAAGGCTGCTGAGGGCTCCAGGACAACGAGGACTGGGAGCTGACCACTGGGTCTGGAAACATGGGAGTCATGGGTCACCTTGAAAAGACCGGTCCCCGTGTCAAGGTGGGGAAGGAGTTCTGATTAGAGTGAGTTGAAGAGCGAGGGAGAGGAGAGGAGGTGCCGAGATGCGAGCACAGACAACTCCTATGTGGGGTTTTGAAGTAAAAGAAAGATAAGAACGGGGGTGTGTGAGCCTAGAACAGTCATTTCAGGCTGGGCCATATTACAGCATGCTCTTATGCTGGTGGAATGGCTCCACAGAGGGGAGGGGATCATGTAGGGAAGAGAGGAGAATCTCTCCATGGGGATGTCTTTGAGCAGGTGAGGAGGAGCTGTGTACCAGCGGAGGGGTCGGTTCCACTGTCATGGATGGTTCCTCTGTAACAGAATGCTGTGTGTGCGGGTACATATGCAGGTAGACAGGTAAATGTGGTGGCAGGAGTTTGTAGGTTTTCCTTCTGATTGCTCCTATTTGCTCAGTGAGACAAGAAGGAAGGTCGTCAGCTGAGAGTAAGGCTGAGGGAGGTGGTGTTGAAGGTCAGGGGAGAGAAGGTGTGAAATCATCATTCAGGACAGTGGGGGACCCTTTAGGACCCTGGAAGCGACAGAATCCACAGGCACCATTGGGACCCACTGGAGGTCAGTGGTCTGGTGTCTAACGTGCGACCAGTCAACGTGGTTGGGCAGACCTTCCGGCTTTGCTCAGCGGTGAGGGTACAAGTGGGGAGGAGGTGGTGACTGGATTGAACCGAGGTTGGGATTTCTCCAGGAGAGGATGGCGGTGGAAGAGAAAGGCAGGGAGCTGAGAGTGTTTGAAAGGAAGTGATTATGATGATGAGCCACGGAATCTAAGCCGGGAAGGAGGAAGTGGGAACATGAGGGAGCGTGGGGAGGGACAGTGAAAAGGTGGTGGGATCAATAGGTTGAGGGTTCTGGGGGACAAAAACGTTACTACCATTGTGGTGGTGGGCGAGCTGGGAAGCGAGGCAGTGTAACGAGGGAGGAGCAGGTAGTGATGGGCGATGGCCGTGGGAGGAACAGCTGGGGAACGAGGACAAGATCACTGAAGAAGAGGAGGTCAAGGAAGGGAACGGAAGGAGCATCCACGTGGAGAACGTTCATTCACTCGACAAACACTTTCTGAGCACCTGTCATGTGCCAGACACTGCTCCAGGTCTCTTGGGGCCCATCAGTCATGTGGCAAGCCAAAACAATTACAAGAGAGTAATTGTGTAAAGAGTGATGGTGAGCCAAGCCCGGTCTGCTTCCTATCCTCCTCCTCTTACACAGGTAGGAGCCTGAGGCCCAGAGAGGGCACGTGACTCCTCCCAGGTCACACAGGGAGCTGGGGGTAGAACTGAAACTAGAATGAAGGTCTCCTGCCTCCCAGGACAGGGCCCTTTTATGGATAAAATCTGAGCTCTTGGAACATGACAGCCCTAAAAGGATCGTGAGACCTTTTGTGTACAATTAAGATGGGAACGAACAGCACGAGCTTCAGCAAAGATGACCAGGAAGACAATGGACGATGCCTCTAGGAGTTGCAAAAAGACAGAGCAGTGTCCACGGTCCTGCAGAGATGTAGAAGTCTCTGAAGCAAAACAGCATCTGAGGACAGTGAGGTCCCAGAAAGCACAGAGGTTTCTCTTGCCCCCAGACCTTTGCACATGCTGTTCCCTGTCTGGAACACTGTTCCCACCCCTTCACATGGATAATGCCTACTCCTGCTATAGGACTGAGCTTTATATTACTTCCTCCAGAAAGTCTTCCCTGACCTCTCCCCTACCCCAAGCCTGAGCCAGGGACTTCATCTGTCCTCCCACAGCGACCTGTACTGCCCCATGGTTACATCTTTTTTACACTGGATTGTAATAACCTGTTGTAATAACCCGTTGGATTTTCTTCACCACTAGAATAGACTTCCTGAGAGCAGAGAACACATCAGACTTGTTCCCTCCTGAATCCTCAGGGCTGAGCCCAGGGCCTGGCACACAGCAGGTGCTCAATAAATACTCATTGCAAAGATGAATAAATATCAAACAGGGGTGATAACGCCCTCAGTTTTGGATGCTGTTAACGCCCCACCCAGACCCCGTCATCAGGCCAGGGCACCCGTCCCCCAGGGGCTGTAAGTCTTGGCTGTAATTGGCCCACAGACGGCCCTTCTCAGAAGAATCGCCCTGGGCTGCACTGGATCCCGGGCTCACCCCCATCCCCTTCCAGGACCAGCCTGCAGTTGACTGACAGACCCGGGTGTACAAAAGGCCAGCCCCCTGCATGTAAGGGGAATGGCTCTGTGGTGTCATTCATGCTCCAGAGCCCCCCGTGGGTCAGCCTCATCCTTGCCTAGTTCCTCCCCTGCCCGGCTTCCCTCACTCCCCTTCTCCTGAGAGCAACCTTCAATAAAATAAATCCCTTTCCCAAGGATCCCTGTCTCTGGCTCTTTTCTAGGGACCCTGACCTAAGACACCCACCTTGGCTGCCTCACCAAAAGTAGGATGGATGGACAGATGGACTGATGGATGAATGGATACCTAGAAACTGCTTTTCATATACTCGAGCTCCTTCATTGGGAAGACGAGGAACCTGAGTCCCAGGGAAGCTTGGTCCAGAACACAGGCCTCTAGGACCTTCCCTGCCTCTCCCACATCCCCCAGCATCTGAGGATGCTCAGGGGCCCCCTGCCCCCAGCCCCTTCCCCTCCACCTCCACCTGCCCCAGAACCCCCGAGGACCTGGCAGGCACACTATCCCGGAACGGAAGATCTCCACATTCAGAGCCCCAATCCCGGGCTCAGGCTCTGCATCCAGTGGGGGGCCTCTTTCTGGAGGGCCTGCAGAAGCTTCTGAGAAGGCAGACTTCTCCCTGGTCAGTGAGGCCGAGTCAGCAGCTGAGCCAGATGCTTCGGTCTGAGTTGTTCCAGCTGGGGAAAAGCAACAGGAAAAGGGTGTGGCAGCAGAAGATGGCTTTTCCCAGGGGAAATGTCTTCTCTCTCACCTTCTGACTAATAATAACAGCTTACACCTATTGATCTCCTATGGTGTGCCAGGCATTGTGCTAAGCTCCTTACTTCTGGTGTCTCTTTGAACCTCAAAATAACTCTATGAGGCAGGTACGGGCCCCACTGCATAGAGAGAGAGGCCTGGACTTAGAGAGGTCAAGTCCTTGACCAAGGTCACTCAGCCAGTGCACGGCGAGCTGGGGCATGGACTTAGTCTGTCTTAAGAGAGTCACAGCCCTTGCTCAGTTCCAGAACCAGGAGACTTGAAGCCTCTTGACATGTCAACCCGTGCACTACACCCGAGACTGAGCCAGCCCAGGTGGGTCTCTGTCCCCGACAACCTGTGTCGCCTTGTCACCTGATCACATCCAGACGACAGTGCCCCTGTCCAGCTGTGTGAGGGGGCACCTTACCTTTCCCCGAGCCCTTGGCTCTGTTGGGTTTGGGTGAGTAGAGCGAACACAAGACCTTCCAAGCCCCATCATGCTGGGGCGAGGCTTTCTCCGGGAGCACGGGGGCTTGCCTCTGCCCCTTCAAGAATGAGAATTTGAGCCCAGGACTGGGGGATCGGGAAGAGGAGGTGTTTCGACTGGGGCTGGTCACGGGCTTGAGAAGTCTCCCGTTTCCCTGTTTGGCCCCCTGTTCCATCTTGGTTTCAGGGGCTGAAGCAGCAGGAGGAGAAGCGGGGCTCAGCCGGGGAGAGGATGCTTGTTTTGGTCCAGGCCTGAGCTGGACCACATTCTCTGGGTTTCCTAGAGGTCCCTGCATCTTGGAGACAGCTGGCTCTTCTGAGACATCTGTCCCGAGGCCAGAGTGCAGTGGGTCCCAAAGGACGTTGAGATAGGGCTCTTGGGACTGGCGTTCTGAGTGGTGGGTGAGGGCTTTATGGTTGACCTTTCTCCTCAAGCCCAAAACGCGCGGCTCCTCCTCCGAGCTTGCTGGCTTCGCGCGAGCCCATCTTTCCAAAGAAGGTCCCCCACTGGCCCCTGAGAGCAGCAGCAGTCTTTGAGAGACAGGGATTTCCTTACTTCCAGACGCTTCCTCCAGGGCCCCGAAAGGACACCCAGGGGATGCCTCCACCTCCCTACTGGGAGACCCTGCTCTGCTCTCTGGGGAAAAGTCCAGGAGGGCCACATAGTCTCCCTCCACGTCCTGGCTGGCCGCATCGTCCATCCTGAAGGCCACCTCCCCAGGCCTGGCTTGCTCCACCTTGATGAGTCCCGGGTACTTGTTCTCATATGTCCCGTCCTTACCCTTGGCCAAGCTCCGGGCAAGCAGCGCCTGGCTGCCTGGGGACCTGGCCTGGTGTGGCCCTTGAGAGCTGCTCAAATCCAATGCCTCTAATTGGAGGGACCCCCAGGCCTGGGAGAGGACAGTCACTGCTTGGGGTCTGTCATCCACAAACTTTGGACTGGCTATCTTGGTCCAGGGCACAGGGACAATCCCATCCTCTGAAGCCACCAGACAGTTGCGTAGGGGACTGCCCTCGAAGTCACTGTTGATGGCCTCCAGCCACGCCTGGGTGAAGAGAAGAGGGTAGGACGACACGGGAACAGGCTTTGTGTCCACTGTGCGGAGGTCCGAGGAGAGGCACTTGACGGTGATGCAGGCGGACTGCTCCTCCCGGGGCTCGGCTCGGAGGTAGAAGTCGCCCTGGCGCAGTAAGAGGGGACTGAGGGGTGCCAGGTGGACCACGACCGCATCCCGCAGGCACAGCGGCCAGCCCTCGTGCAGGAAGAGGCGGTGTGAGTAGGGGGCCTGCGGACAGAGGGGCGTCAGAGACTCTTCCCTAAAAGTGCCCCCTCCATCCCTCTCCCAGATGGAACCTTGCACAGGGGGCTGGGGTGAGGCAAGAGAGGACGCAGCATTTAAGGAGGCCCCACTCACAGCGTCCTGCGAGTCGCATGGCCCCAAGAGCGAGCGCCTCCTTAAAGGCTGTGCCTTCAGTGCCTCTTGTCTCACCCCAGTCCCGCCCTGACCTTGAAAATATTTGCTAGCCTACTGGCCCAGGAGAAAGGCTCTGAGCACGAGTTAGCTGAGCGAGCACCTTCCCCATGAGGTTCATCCTGCTTGCTCCTGCTCTCTTCTCCCCGTCCATCCAAAACTTCTCGCAACCCAGCTCACGCCTGAGTCCTCTACTTTAAAGCCAGGGAGACATGGGTTCCCAGATCTGAATCACTAATATGTGCAAATTACTTAATTTCTTTGAGCCTCAATTTCCCTATCTGCAAATAGGAATAATGACACATATTGGTATTACTGGGTTGCTATGAGGATTAAGTGAGTCTATATATATATAAACATGAAGAAAAAAGAAAAAACACCACAATGCCTGGTGTATAATAGGTAGATGTAAAATAAATACTCATTTCCTCTCCCTTTGACAACAATTACTCTTTGAAAAATTGTGGGGATTTTCAATTAAAAAATAAAAAGGTCATTTACCGCTTTTATACCATTCTCTAATTTTTAAGTAGAGAGATTACAGAGTAAAGTAGAAACAACACTCAGTGGGAAGTCAGGAAATCTGACCCTGCCACTAACTTGCTGGATGACCTTGAAAAAGTCATTCCACTATTCTGGGCCTGTATGTTTATTATTTACTTGTTTGTTTCTTTATTATTTATTTATTTATTTCCCATTGATGGTAACAACATGGCAGGTGAGGCAAAACTTAAAAAAAATTTTTTTTAAACAGAAAGTGCTAGCAATTCTCCATACAGGCAGACACAGCAAGTCATCATGAGGTCGACCATCCCTCTTATTTGAGCCTCTCCACTGGGCTGTGTGGGACCAGTGTTCAACAGTGACACCATGTGGCAACCACAGGAACAACAGCTCCACTGGGCTAACAACAGGTCTTTCTCTAGCTGGCTTTTGGAAGAGTCTGATTCCTGTAGACTGAGTAAGCCCCAGATAATCTTACATAATTTGGATGTGTATGTGGGAGACACTTAACTTCCTGCTAATTAAGCATGTGTTTCCTGGAATTATTAATTGGGGAAATAATGACCATACTTGTACCCCAAGCTGATAAACTAGTGCATATCATTTACGCTGTAGATCTGGCTGCCTCAGAGAAGCTTCGTATCCATAACCCCATGAGTCTGTGAGTTATTCCACCCCTTTCACTGAACCCTCTGCTGTTTACAGCATGCTTTCCCTCACTTTCTCATTGAAGGAGACAGAACAGCCCAGTAGTATTCTGCAAACAGCAAAGCACGACAGAGATGACAGTTACGATCATCTTATTTGATACTCACAGTAACTCAGTGGGGCAGGCAGTTCAGGCATTATTATTCTCACTTTACAGAGGAAGAAATAGGCTCAGAGAGGTCAAAGAATTGGCTTATAGTCACACAGCTGATAAGCGGCAAAAGCAGGACTTGTGTCTAGACCTTCATATTAGGAGTCAGCTGCGACTGTCTTTAATATCCAGTAGACTTCATCTGAGGGTCGCTGCCTCTGGGTGCCGGAGGTTGCATAAGCAGACTTTGAGGCTGGCACATTCTACCGAGCACTCACTGCCTGCCAGGCCTGTGCTAGGCTGTGTGCACCAGCTCTGCGAGGTGGGTGCTGTGTGTGAACATTCCTACTTTCCACACAAGGAAGCCAAAGCTCAGAGACATGACGTGGACCCCCCGAGTTCACAGTGATGGAGCCTGGATTTGAACCTGGGGTTCACATGGCCCTGAGGCCACACTGTTAATCCCACGCTAGCACCCTCCGCTCTGAGGTGACATGAATTCACCTCTAAGTACAACTGAATTAAAGTTGTCTATAATTAAAAATAAAGAAGTAGAAAGGCTGTGACCCTTGTCCCTGGGAGAAATGGGGAAGAGGACAGTGCAAATGCAGTTTTAGTTGCCAAACAAAGGGAGTGGGCAATTGTATAGCTTGTCAGGGAGGAGAAATACGGACGGGGAAGGATGTGCATGAAATAAGGTCAATGCAGATATGTGGAAGTCCGCCACAAAGGTTTCCATGAGAGTCTTCCTTCTCCTGTAATAACAACCAAGGTGTACAGGGCTACTTCCACGCATCAGGCATTGTGCTAAGCATGTTAAATGAATAGTCTGTTTCCTTCCAGTTCCAACCATCTCTAATGCCGGCTCCTAAGCCTGAACTCTGAGCTGCCACATTCGGTTTCTTTCTACCATGGAAGTGACGCACATAGTCCCCACCCTTGCTTTTTGCTCTTGAGGTACATGTCCCTGACAGGTGTGAGCAACTCAAGAAAGGCCGGTGGGGCCTAAGACCCTCTTCGTGATTCTCGAGGCTGGGGTGGCAGGGGGTGGGCGTTAAATAACAGCAGAGCAGGGCACAGGTGGCAACCCTGTGAAGGATGCGGGAAAGTTCCAGCAGTGGGCAGCTGAGGGTTGGTCTCCTCATGCCTCTCTCCTGTCTTTTCTTAAAACAGACTCTATCCTCTGGCCATAGAGGTAGTCATATGACTCAAGCCTGGCCAATCCTGGACCACACTCCTCTGGCTGCAGCGATTGGTCTAGGAAGGAACACAGGATCCGAGCCTGGCCAATCCTGATACTCCATTCCTCTGGCCACAGTGGTTGGTCCAGGGATGGACACAGGACCCAAGCCTGGCCAATCAGGATCCTTCCTTGTGATTTTTCCATCTGTAGCTGATGGGGAAGAGTTCATTTTCCTCTCCAGGGCAGGATTTGATCCCAGGGTTGCCCTGGGCTTCAGCCATGTGGGAACACCTAGCCTGTAAGAGTGATGCTGGCAAGCAGCAGAAGCAGAGACAAGAGACAGAAAGAGTCCTCAAGGGGTTTGATCGGTGGATCAACTAGGGCCTGAGGCCGGATCACCCTGTCCTGGTCTGAGGAAGGATCTGCCATTTGCAGCCAGTGAGTCTGCCGAAAACACTTCTTTCCACTTTGCCTCAGGAGGGTCCTCCCTGAGATCTGGTTTGAAGGGGTCTCCCGGGAAGAAAGCGAGAGTCCTGAGGTCTCAAGGGCTCCAGGGAAGGTCTGGAACATTCTCTGCTATTTCCACTGAAGCTGCCCGACTTCAGCCAAGGCAGCCTGACAATGCCCACAATGCCAGCCCCGGGGCAGACTCCCAGGGGTCAGGGAGCCCACCAGGATGCCTTTTATCCAGGGCTTCCTCCCTGCTAGTGACAGTGCAAAAGTGATTGACTCCTAGATGTCAGAGGGGAAAGGGCCAAATGACCTTCCTGCTCCGTTTGAGGGGCTGAAGTCTCCCTTTAGGCAAGCAGTGATACCTGGAAAACCAGCCCACGCCCTCAGCTCCTGCTCTGAGACAAGACACACACCAGCCCACGTCCTTCTCTGCTCACCTCCAGCCCCATGGCCTTCTGGGAGAGCTTGTCCCCTGGCCCTGCGTCCCTTCTGACTTACACAGGCTGCTTCGCGCACTTGCTCACACAGGCGCTTGGCAGGGATCAGGAAATCCAGGAGGAAACTCAGTCCATCTCCTTGGAAGTCAGACTCCAGAAGACGGAACACTTGACCTAGGACGGTTGGTGCCGTGGCCTCAAAAGGGGGATAGAGGCCCGCCAGGGCGTGCTGGATGGCTGTGTCCAGGGAAGGGGGGTCCTGTGGGGACAAGAGGAGAGGATGAAAAGTGATAGTAGCAGTAATAAGAAGGGCAGCGGCCACTCCCCATGACCTCCCTGGCCTCATATGACTAAGGCCCCTGCTAACTCTCTCACCTCCTCCCCTCCCCCTCCCCCTCACATATCCCCTCCAGCCACATTGGCCTTCTTTCCTGTTCTTCAAACACACTAGCCACAATCCCACCTCAGGGCCTTTGCGCTGGCTGTTCTCTCAGCCTAGAATACTCTTCCTTAAGACATCCTCATTCCTTCACCTCTGTAGATCTTTGCTCAAATGTCATCCATGGGTCCAAGGTGGAGTGGGGGAACGCGGGAAGGCATCCAGGTCAGGGCGAGAGGGAAAGGGGAGGGTGGCCTCCCCAGATCCCACCACCTGGCTGACCTGCAGACCTGCAGTTTGAAGCTGAGCCTTCAGTGAAACCCAGCCTAGATCAGACAAGCCCCAGTCAACATGCAGGTTCATGAGTGGTAAGTGATTACTGTTTTCTACCACTGAGTTTTGGGGTGGTTTGTGACACAGCAATAACTAATTGATACAAGTTGACTGATGTATGATATATAATTATATGATATATAATTGCCACGTGAGCTTCAGACTCATATATCCAGCTGCCTCTTGGATGCCTCCCCTAGATGTCTCTCAGGCAAAGACCATCAACACATCAAACCCAACTGAATACCCTCTTCAACCTGCTCCTCCTGCCACGTCCCTACCTCAGTGATGGCCCCACCATCCCATCAGATTCCTAGGTCAGAAATCTGCTCATCATCTTGCCCCCTCTTCCTGCCTTCCCTGCCCACAAACCACCCTCAGCCATGCCCTATATAGTCTCCTCCCCTCCAACAGCTCCCCAACCTACTCGCTCTGCTCTGTTCCCGCCAGGATGCAGGCCACCATCATCTCTTCTAGTGAATCACCTCCTCATTGGTTTCCAACCTCTAGTCTGCCTTACCTCCAGCCATTCTCCACACGACCCTAGAGTGCCCTTTCTCAAATGCAAACCTGACCTCATCAGTCTCCAGCTCAAGCCCTCAAAGGCTCCCCATTGCCTTAAAGCATCCGGCCTCCAGGCATTCAGATCCCTGGGACCTCGCCAGCCTCACCTCCAGCCTCACTGCCTCTCTCCATGCTTCCGCCAAGATGACACCTGCATTCTCTTTTTCACCTCTAGGCCTTGGCACATGCTGTTCCTTCCCCTTCCACTCCCTCTCCATCTGGCTAACTCCTTCTCATTCTTCAAGATTCAGGTCAGCACTCGTCTCTCCCAGGAGATTTTCTCTGACCTCCCTCCCCCACCCCAACTGGACCAGGTGTCCCCTTCTCTGGGCTTCTACGGTGTGCCCATCATAGCGGTATCCGCACTGATTGCTGTCTCCCTCAATGGACTCCGGGCTCCCTGAGGACAGGAGTGCTAAGCATAATAATGGCCCCCAAAGATGCCCACGTCCTCAGCTCTAGAACCTCTGAATATGTTACCTTACATGGCAAAGAGGAATTAAGGTTGTGGATGGAATGAAGGTTGCTAATCGGCTGGCTTCAAAATAGGGAGATTATCCTGGATTATCCAGCTGGACCCAGTCCAATCACAAGAGTCCTCAAAAGTGGAAGAGGACACAGAAGAGGCGAGAGCCAGAGGGCAATGTGACTATGGAGGAAGGACAGAGGGATGCGATACTGCGGGCTTTGAAAATGGAGGAAGAGCCAAGGAATGTGGGCGCCTCCTAGAAGCTGGAAAAGGCAAGCAAACGGATTCTCCCTGAGGGTCTCCAGCCTGCCAACACCTTGATTTGAGCCCAGTGAGACCCTGTTGGACTTGTGATCTACAGAACTGCAAGATAATAAATTTATGTTGCTTTGAACTACTAAATGTGTGATCATTTGTTTCAGCAGCAATAGAAACAAAAACAGCAGGCACTGGCTCCTAGTCCCCTACGGTCCTCAGCACCTGGCACGAAGTAGGTACCCAGTGACTGCTGCGTCAGGATGAATAATATGTCCCTCTCTGAACCACAGTTTTTCCATCTGTAAAATAAGCAAGTCGGACAAAGCCAAAGGTTCGCAGCCAGGTACAGTAATAGAATCCATGGGTTACGATCTTCAACTCTTAAAAAGCCTAACGGAAGCCATTCTGGGTGCCCCAGGCTGGGCGCAAGCTCTGAGTCCATGCGTCACTAGAGATGTAAAGGAAGATGAGAATAAATAAGAATCCAACATAAAGGGAGCTTATTTAGGACAGAAGAATCATTTTTATAAACAAGACTCTAGAGACAGGGAAATAAAATAGAGACTTCAAGGAGGTGGGAGATGGCACTTCTTGATTCAGCAAGACTCCAACGCCAGGAGGCTGTAAAGCAGGGGACGCTAGCCCAGGGCATGTAGACAAACGCCAGTGTCACCGCTGAGTCCCCAGCACCCACACGGTGCTGGGCACAGGGTAGGCCCGCCATCACCATTTGTAGAATGAATGAATGGATGTCTACAGCCCCCATTCTGAAGGAAAGAGCGTCCTGGCACTGTCGTGGTGGTAAGCTCAGAGGGGACAATGTCCCACAGGTACTTGATGTCGAAAGTGCACGTGCCCAGGAGGGGCTGTTTTCACACTGAGGGGGGAGGGGTCCTCAACTGGCAGAACAGGGAAAGGCTCATCTGGCCTAGTAACCTCTTCCAGCGCCTCCCCTCCAAGCAAGGCCCAACCGCAATAGTTACTGCCTGCCCCCCCGCCCCCAGCCATGCACTTCTGAGGACAGCAGTGGGAACGGGGACAGAGAGTTAGAGGACCCCATCCGACATCCGTGAACACGCAGACACACTAAGTCCATTAAGCCAGCACCCCTCCCCTGCCACGTACCCTCCCCGCTCCACCCAGCCTCTCCTGGGCCTTTGCTCCCCTGGATTCTGCTTCCCTGTGCTGCCTGGAGTAGGTGCCTTCCCTCTCTGGGCCTGTTTCCTCGTGCACATACGGAGTTGGGGGAGCTTCATTTTGTTTTGTTTTTGGAAATTTAGTCATTCCCTGTCACCTTCATGAATTTTAACATATCCTAGTACCATCTGTACTATTAGCACTGTTTTTCTTTAAATCCACTCACTTTTTAAAAATTTACATAATTGCCTTTTAAATGGAGACTCTATGTCACCATATTGGTTATGAGAATGCAGCGGACCACCTGAGTTCCAATTCTGCCTCTGCCACATACTGGTCACGTGACCTGGCCAGTTACCCAACCCTCTCTGCCTCAATGCCCTCGTCTGTAAAACTGGAGGCTGTAACCGCACCTGCCCCACAGAGCTGAGCGAGAGCAAGCGACATAATTCACGTAGGCTCTCTGCACAGGACGAGCACGTAGCAGACACTCATTGAGCAACAGCCATCGATGCTATTTTTGTGGTCATATTATAGTTATTATTACATCACCACTGTAAGTGGAAAAATCAGTACCAACTGGCATAAGCAGAATGTAACTCCAAAAATAAATCAATGATGCATTGGGTGGTTTTTATATTATTTCATTTATATAAATATATTTATATTTATTATATATATTTATTATTATAATAGCTATAGTATACATCTAAGTATATATTTATATAAATAATATAATATATAACTATATAATACACACTTATTATAAAAATATACTTTATTTGTACTGTTCTATTTCTATAATAATAAGCTTTTCATTTCTCCGCTGAGGAAGATTAGCCCTGAGCTAACATCCGTGCCAGTCTTCCTCTATCTTGTATGTGGGTTGCTGCCACAGCATGGCCCCTGCCAAGTGGTGTGGGTCCACACCTGGGAACCACACCTGGGCCGCTGACGCAGAGCACACTGAACTTAACCACTAGGCCACTGGGCCGGCCCCAACAATAAGCTATTTTCTAAATGAAAAAGTAAACAATGAAAACAAATATTGCCACTACATTCTAGGGACATCTGGTCACCTCCCACCGGTTCAGGAGGCCTTCTCTCTTCCATGCACGAGGAAGATATTAAAGACACCTCATCACCAGACAGAGGCTTTCTCTCTGGGTCCTCAGAAGATGAGAGGAGAATTCAAAAGGGCCCAACCCCTCACCATATGATTCCATGTTATTTAGTTCCAGGCTGTGACAGCCTGTGTCCCAACTGTGTCTGCATCCCCACCTCTGGGAAACAAGGAGCTAAACCATCTCGTCCTTGACGTGCCTCAGTTTCCCCATCTGTAAACAGGGATTCTAGTTCCCATCCTGTCTCGCTCAGATGACTGTTCTGGAGATAGAAGGAGATAACGGATGTAGGGAGAAGTAAAAGGCGTTGCTGCTGTGGTTATTGTTATTATTGTTATTTATTTTTACTCATCCTGGCAGACAAAGCTCAAGGCCCAGCCTCTGCATGAAGACATCTTCCCCGTCCCGGTCCCTTCCTGAATCCACCACCTTCAGCCCAAGAATAACAGCAGTTTCCAGGCACCTGCTGGGCACCAGGCCCTCTACTCACATTCTCCTGCTTAGCCACACACCGATCCTAAGGGCACAGCAGGAACACCCCATTTTGCAGGTAAGGAAACTGAGGCTGACCTTGCCCAAGATCACAGAGAGGAGGAGAAAGACAGAGCCGGGATCCAACCCAGGTCTGGGCTGGTCGCATCCGCCCTCTGCCCCTGTCTCCTGGTGCCTCGTCTGCCTTGGGGCCACCAGGCGCCACCAGCCTTGGGGGTGACCTCCCAGCTGCCTGTCCTGTGATATTTCAACTGGGGCCTAAAGAAGCTGTTTACCTCTCACAGACTCAGGCTCGCAGACTGGACGCCTCCGGCTTTCACAAATTGGCTCAGCTGGCCGCGTACTGTAACCATTTAAGGAGCAGCCAGTAAAAAGGAAGAATGTTCCAAGTGAACGGGACTCCGAGCTCTTGGCCAGCGCGTTACCTGCCACAGGCCTGAACCCCAGGGGCTCATAAGCTGTCCAAGTATTGGGGGAAGCACACGGGGAAGGGGCCCAGGCGG